CTTACCGCAAAAAACAAACAAACAGAAAATGGCAGCCGAAAGGTGGAAACAATCCAAGATTCCATCAACAGACACATGGAGAAACAAAATGTGGTGTACAATGGAGTATTATTCGGCTTTCAAAAGGAAGGAAGTTCTGACACGTGCTGCAATATGGACAAACACCGGACACTGCGCTAGGTGAAATCAGCCAGAGTCACAAAGAAACAATTCTGTATGATTCCACTATGGGAGGTAGCTGGATTAGTCAAATGCAGAGATAGAAAGTGGAATGCTGGTTGCCGGGGGCTGGCCGGAGAGGGGAATGGGGAGTTGCTGTTTGACAGGCACAGAGTTTCAGTTTTGTAAGTGAAAAGTCTTCTGGAGCTGGATGGTGGTGATGGGTGCACAAAAAATGTCAATGTAGTTATCACTCAACGGTATGTTTGAAAATGGTTAAGATGGCAAATTTTGCTATGTATATTTTATATTTAAACAATGTATTTAAAAACAGAGAAAGACTAGCTGCTGGCAGCTAAAGATATGGACCGGACTTGAAGAGGGAGTGCAGGGCTGGAAGGAAGAGGTCTACTTGGCAGTTGGCCTCCGAAAAGAAGGGCAGCATCATTTTCAGGCTCCAGGCCTGTGAGATCCGTGGGCTTCACCGAGCAACTCTGCTACTGAGTGATGAGCAGGTGGTGTACAGAACTCTTCCCCAATTTTCTTTGGAAATACTGAGCTCAATTTAATTTAGTGAAAAACCTTTAAAATCTTTTAAAATAAGTGACCTTGGAAATGGAGTAAGAGCATCTGCACACACCCACTTCTGACCCCTGCCCTCTCCCCACTGGCCTCACTCAGTGGATATGGACACTGCAGACAACTCAATCCCAGGGAAGATAAACTGCAGGTCGCGTCAGCAGGCCCTGGCAGGTGGAGAGTGTTGTTTGGCCTGAGACTGGCAAAGCTGGGCTTCATCTAACAATTCTGTGTCTCCCGACCCTAAACGAGGGAGCATTGGAGAACCCACTTTATACTTGGTGAGGCACTCGATAACGATTTCGAGATTCGTACAGCCTGATGCTGCCCTTCTTTTCGGAGGCCAACTGCCAAGTAGATCTCTTCCTTCCAGCCCTGCGCTCCCTCTTCAAGTCCGGTCCATATCTTCAGCTGCCAGCAGCTAGTCTTTCTCTGTTTTTAAATACAGTTTTTGAATTAATGGCTTTTGAATTTAATGGCTTTCGACCTCTCCAACAGTCCCAAAAAATCGGCCTAGCTCTAGGTCTTTCCAGAATTCTTGGGCACCTCCCATCTAAATGGGATAAGCCTTTCCCTCTAAATGTGATCCCGATTCCAAAAAGTCCTGGGCCCAGGGTTATTTTGCTGGCTTCTGCCGATGCTAATCCCTCATCACCATGGTTCCCTGGCAGGAGGTAAGTGGGTAGAGCACAGCCTCTCCCACAGGGGAGAGCCGGGTCCTCCCACGGAGCTTAAGGCAGCCCTCCTGACTGACGACTTATGGAATCTACCATGTTCAGAGTAGCCTCACTTTAAAAAACAAAACCAAGTGAACTGTGCGTGTGAAAACTTCTCACCCGTGTCACGCACAGGAAAACTACCTGCCCTGCACTCTCGGGCTCTCCTTCTGCAACAGTCGATTCGCCAACCTAAATATTTTTAATCCACAAGTGGATGTAGACGTCGGAAGATCAAAACTTAGGCCTGGAATAGAGGAAGTTTAGATCACTGGTCATATAGGCCTAAATTGTTATTCAAGCTCTTCTCAATTTTTCCTTTTATGCTTGTTCCCTTATTTTGCTTCATTTTTAATTTAGGAGGAAATGGCCAATATCTTAGATCACTTCCACTGCTGGATCTTGTTGGGCTTCAGAAGTCTTTAAGGATGGATTTTTTGAAAAAGAAGAAAAAGCATAAAATGTGTCGGGGAAATGGAATTCCTATCATTTCCCTCAGAAATTTTGCCTTTTACATGGAGTTCTCCCACCAACGGTTCAATGAAAGATGGTTTCCTTGTTGTCATTTATTACCCATGACAGGCAGCAACACTGCCTCAGAAACAACCGCCATTCACCACAATTATCTAACAGAGACTGCAAGGCAAAAGAAGGCTCAAACCGCCTTTCTTCTGGAATACTGTTCCCAAAGGCAACAGTTCAAAGCAAACCTCTATTGACTGGAACACTGATATCTACAGAGTTCTCTGGCCAGAAGATTCCACTCCTCCTATAGTGACATGGGAAACTAACACGTAATTACGTACACTCCAGTCACCAGGAAGTCAAGTTCAGCAACATGGTCTATACGTGGAAGCCTTATATACCCACACTGGGGGGATGAGCACAGCCCCCCGGACCGTCAAAAGACGTGCTTCCTGCTTAGCAAGGATCCCCCCTGTTCACCTCCTCCCAGTAAGGAAAAGAAAAAACATTTTTTTCTCTAAAACTCAATGTAACAAAAAGGGACAAGATATAAGACAGTATCAAAGTTAAATAAATTAGATGCACTGTAGTCATCCCTTGGTATCCTGGAGGACTGGTTGCAGGGGGCCCCCGTGGATACCCAAACCCGCCGATGCTCAAGTACCTTAAATAAAGTGGCGTAGTATTTGCATAACCTACGGCTATCCTCCTGTAGAGTTTAAATCATCTCTAGATTACTTATAATACCTAATACAATGTAAATGCTATGTAAATAGGTGTACACAATATAAACACTATGTACAGGCAGACCTTGGAGATACTGCCGGCTCGGTTCCAGACCATTGCGATAAAGCAAGTATCACAATAAATCAAGTCACACACATCTTTTGGTTTCCAAGTGCACACAGAAGTTACGTTTACGGTAGTGTATTAAGTGTGTAACAGCATTATGTCTAAAAAATGCACATACCTTAATCAAAAAATACTTTATTGCTAAAAAATGCTAACCATCATCAGAACCTTCAGGGAGTTGTATAATCTTTTTGCAACGGTAAAACCTCAAAGATCACTGATCACCATAACAAACGTTAATAAAGAAAAAGTTTAAAATATTGTGAGAATTATCAAAATGTGACGCAGAGACATGAAGTGTGCAGATGCTGCTGAAAAAATGGCGCTGAGCGACTTGCTTCAAGAAGGGCTGCAACCGACCTCCAATACGTAAAACACGCGGTATCTGCCTGTGAGGTGCACGGCAAACCCGAGTTTTGCTTTTTGGAACTTTCTGCAACTTTTTTTCTGAACATTTTCGATGTGAGGTTGGTTGAATCCGCAGATGCAGAAATCCGTAAACACGGAGGGCTGACTGTACAGGGCGCTAGCCCCTAGACATATTTACGAATGTGACATAAACAATGACACACTCCTTGCTAAAAGGGCTCACAACTCATTCACAGCAACACAAAAATATCTAACGTATTTTCTATCTTTAAATATCTTTACTGATTTCTTGCTTCTATATACCTTTTGTTTTTGTTTTATGCATTTTAGAGCAGAGGGCAGGGGGTTTGGAGGAGACAAGAGAGAAAAAATTTGAGGCGAGAAAAGGAGATTTCAAGAAAGAATACGGTAGGAAAGCAGCAGATAAGCCAGCACTGGAGACTGCAGGATTATGGGAGGGAGGAGGCCTGGGACCTACTGGGTGGTGGAGACGACCTGTCAGATCAGATGGCCACACCTGAGACGGGAGCAGGGCACGATGGAGAGAGAGAGGGAAGAGAGCCTTCCCGGACATCTTCAATCTGGTCCAGAGACGCATCGCCCTTCAGCCCTGGGGAAGGCACACGGCATCCGTGCCTCAAACTGTTCTCTGAGCATTAAAACATATGCAGTGTGCTTCACAGACAACACAGAAATGACATGCCCCAGAATATGGGATCCAAAACCTCAGAGACAAAATAAAAATGCATAAAGATGTAAGAGCACTTTAAAACGGTCATGATCTTTAGGATAAAGAAACCATTTTCTCAACGAAGGTACTGAGCACATTTAATAAAAATGAAATGAGATTAAAGACAAGGTGCACTGCTACGCATCCCCCAAATCGAAGTGATTAGGAAGGTGAGATGTGTGTCAATGAAGGCGGGGCGCCAGGAGCGCAAGTGAGCTCCTGTCACCAAGAGATCCGGACGGAACTGACACCTCCTCACGTTCATTTCACTTACAGGACAGGAGACAGCAGCCCTGGGAATGAACTGTGCTGGCACGTGCAGCAGCGGGGCGGGGCTCCGCCCCCGGGCAGGGTGTGGACCTGGGGGCGACGCAGGGCGACGGGCTGCCTTCCCCGGGAACGACTCATTACTCAAATAAACTAATGTAAGAGCTCTGTGTCACCCACAAAGCCAGAGCAAGAAGCACGAACAGAGGTCCCCACCGCGCAGAGGCACACCGCGGCACCGCCCTGTGGGAGGCGGGACAGCAGAGCAGGGAAAGAACGCCTGCTCAGTTGCAGTCATCATCTGCCGGGACGAAGGCGCACCCCGTCCAGGACTTTGGGGCTGGTGGCTGGGCGGCTGGGAGCTCCCTCAACTCTCGAAACTCTGTCTTGCGGCTCCTTTCCTTTCCCCAAGGGCATGACATGTGATGCTTCATTCGGGCCCGATGTTCACATCGACGTGTCTGCTCATCCCGGTAGGCACACAGCCACAGTTATTTGTTTGTCCTCCCAGCACACGTGGCGTTGAAGAGCGGCTGTGAAACGCAGTGGACGACCCACGGGTGATGCCTTTCTGCGCAGCCACCAGCGTCCCAGCGAACCAGGAGACAGGAGGGGAGGTGCCCGCTCCAGCTCCGGGCGCACCCACAGCTCCTTTATTTTACACCCTAAATCGACAGTTTCAACAGATGCAGATTCCACGTGACAGGAGAGCGAGTCAGGAAGATTTGAGCTTTTACATTCTTCAGATGTCGACTTTTGCCGTCCCGGCTATTAAAAAGTTATGTGTAACTTTAAGATGAAAGGCATTAGCAGCTTCTTAGAAGAGGATAATCCAATCTTCTGGAGGTTTAATGAGATGTAAGTCACTGGAGCTTCTGACTCGGTCTGCTGTTAATTGAATCAAAGTCAATGACAATCTGGCTGCACTTTGGTGTGAATTTCCTAAAGGTAAGAAACAAAACATATAAAGATATTATCTAGTGAGTAGTTAGAGCCATTTGTTTACTTTGGCTTAACCTACATTTTCTGCGGGGAGGAAAAAAATTTCCCGGTATTCGCTTGATATTTTGTCTCTATAGGAGCCAATTACAGTGCACCACACCGAGAGGAACACGGACCGGAAAAGACTAAGACAAAAAAAGATGCATGGGGCGGCTCGGTCTGTGTGTTCGTCAGCTAGCTGAGTTCATGAATTATCGGGAAGTCAGAGGATTTCTAACAAGTTAGCTGCATGACATGACATCCAATGACTAGTTTCCCCACCAGATTTATCTTATTGTCTAGGAAATTTTTGCAGCCAACTTGGAGTTGCTCTAAAGCAAAAAAAAAGAGCAAATTTTCTTTTGCTCTCAATACAAAACAACCAGCTCTAGTGGAGTCATTTTTAAAATCATGTTCTATAAATGCAGAAGTAAAATAAACCCATGACAGTTTTTACTCATTAATATACCTTCTCAAGCAGGTGAAAGGAACACTCATGGGGACTAAACATATTCCTTAAAAAAAATCAGTATACAGTAAATACCTAATTATTATGTAAATAATTTGTGTCTCAGAAGGCACAATAGTGCAAGAGATTCATTACGTATAACTTATAACCCTAAAGAGCAATCCAAAAGGTTAGGTATGTCACCAATTACGAGGACCCCAACTGCTGACACAAACACTATGAAGGAGCTTCTTTAAAAGTTTTCAGTCTAAAAGGAGTTTCTACCAGAAACCAAAGATGGTTGAACTGACTTGTGAGTAACACATGCCTCCCCATCTGTGCCTACCAAAGGTAAAGCATATAAATCTCAATGACTTAAGACCTCAATTTAAACTATGACTGTAAAAAGAATTCCCAGTGTTCCAACCTGGCAGGTTATTTTCACCTTAAATATTTTATGCCAGAGTTGCTACATCTGCAAAATTTAAAAAGATTTAATGTTAATATTATAAAACTTGTGAATTTTAAAATTTCTCACTACCAGAACAATTAGTTCAAGCCCTGGAAAGCTACTAAAAGTAAAGTGTAATCATTACACAGATTGTCTTCAGTTACTTCTGTCACTGCCCATAAAAATATACCCTTAGAATAATCTTTAGAGCCTTAGCCCATCATATTTAAAAAGATGCTTCCTATATCCAGACAAAACTCTAATCCAAAAAAGATACACCCCTATATTATACCCTTAGAATAATCTTTAGAGCCTTAGCCCATCATATTTAAAAAGATGCTTCCTATATCCAGACAAAACTCTAATCCAAAAAAGATACATGCACCCCTATATTCATAGCAGCACTATTCACAATAGCCAAGACATGGAAACAACCTGAATGTCCACTGACAGATGAATGGATAAGAAAGATGTGTGTGTGTGTGTGTGTGTATGTGTATACACACACACACACACACACAATGGAATATTACTCAACCATAAAAAGAATGAAATAACGCCATTTGCAGCAACATGGATGCAACGAGAGATTATCAAACTAAGTGAAGTAAGTCAGAAAGAGAAAGACAAATACCATGTGATACCACTTATATGTGGAACCTAGAATATGATACAAATGAACCTATCTAGGAAACAGAAACAGACTCGTGGACATAGAGAACAGACTTGTGGTTGCCAAGGGGAAGGGGTTGGGGGAGGGACACAGTGTGAGGTTGAGGTCAGCAGATGTGAGCTTTTATACAGAGGATGCATAAACAATAAGGTCCTACTGCAGAGCACAGGGAACTATATTCAGTATCCTGTGGTAAACCGTAATGGAAAAGAATGTGTACATACATATGACTGCGTCACTCTGCCGTACGGCAGAAATTAGCACAACATTGTAAGTCAATTATACTTCAGTTAAGAAATAAATTTTTAAAGTAAATAAAAAGATGCTTCCAAGCGTGGAGGTCAGGCATCCCAAGCAGAAATTAAACACCAGACAAGGTCAGGCGTGTCTTCTTCATCAGGCCTTCCAGCACCTTCTCCTCCGCACGCCTCCCACTCACCTGAAGGAAACCCCGGCCATTTCAAACATGAGCCTCGCGGCTCTTGTCTCATTGCTGTCGTGGTACTTATCAGACATGAAAATAACTTCTTTTATCCCTTAAAAGGCAACAATGAAAGAAACCGCATTATGCACACATACAGATACAACAAGAGGCATGCGGACAGAAGCCCTGGTGGAGTCTGATTAATCACCTTTCCTGAGGGTTCGAGCACACAATGTCCAGTGACTGAAATATGTATCTGCTGCTCTCAAATACAGCAGCACATGGATTCTATTTAATCTGCCCTCCAGTCTTTATGGATTTTTTTAAAAATGCAAAGTGAAAACATGTCAAATAGTCAAGCCTTGATCCGATTAACCAATTTTCTTTACTGCAGGCAATCAAATATTCTTTACTCGCAAGGCAACGACTCCTAACTCAAGAGGCTAACGGGGCTGGTGGAGAACACCGGCAGCATCAGAGATGAGGACCACCGCGCTGCCAGGAATGGCTCTGCAGACCAGTTCAAGCCAGCTCGACAGAGGGCAGATCTGTTTCCTACCCCTGTCTCACCAGGCAGTTCTAACTTGAGGGCCCAGAATCTGGAGGGCACTTGACAATCACTCGCTCCTCCACGAGCCTCAGAAGGGACCGCAGGAGGCTGCTCTTCCCACGCACCTGCCGCCGCCGCTGTGCTAAGGATGGCGAGGAAAACTCGCGAAGGGTCGTGCACCCCCAGGGAGGGAGCCCACGAGACTCCTTAACTGAGACCCTTGATCCTGATTCCACCAGACCGCTTCCGCTCAGAGATCCAGGGCTCGGGATAAACAGTCCCATTAAAGCACACATCTGGCTAACGTGGTTAAGTCTTTAAATCTCAAGCCGAGAGCTTTATGGAGATAAAGTGTAGCTGAATCTTAGATGCGACAGTTTGAAAAAGGTGAAATATTCCGAACACAATGGTGCAGATTTATGGTAACCGTAATGTAAGAAAAACTTCAAGTTGTACCATTTGAGTCTTATGACATTTACATGCAAAGAGATGTTTAGGTCCTCATATATCTACCATGTAGTAGATACAAATTAAAATTTCATATAGAGACTCCCAGCTGACCTTGTTTCTGACAGAAGTTCATTTCTCTCCCTCCCCCCTAATCTATGCACAATATGTCAGAGAATAGTAAACTGACAGTAATTATATGCAATGCTGGTGGTGTTTTTTGGCATCTTGCAGTTTAGGAAGTTGCAAACTAAATTAAAAACATGCTAAGAATCACAGAGGATGCAATTAGTCTTAGAATACCTGGCACCATTCAAACACAAAACACAGGAAATATCTTGCAAAGCTGACAGTGCAGTTAATTTAGATCTAAACAATAGCGATTTAAGATCAAACACATCTGCAGTGAGCAGGCAGCAATGCAAATGTGACAAATGGGAATGGCCCGGGTCCTACCTGCCTGGATGATGAGCTTAGCACATTCATTACACGGGAACAAGGCGACATACATGGTACAGCCTTTCACGTCTGCTGAGTTTTTGTTCATAATGGCATTCAGCTCGGCGTGGCACACTGTGGGTTTGAAGGAGAAAGAAAGAAAAACTTAGATTGCAAAGAGCTCATGAAGAATTCGCCGAGTGTTGAGGCATTCCGTTTGCCCCTATGAAATAACACAGATAACAGACCCAGTTTTTAAAAAACTGATTAGGGACGGAAAGTACTGAGAAACGCAGGCCACGTGGTCTGACAGGTTGGCGATGAGCAGCGTGGACCGCAGCAGCCCTGGGTCTGTTAGCACCTACAGCAGCCAGGAGGGGCCAAGGTCAATTGTCCCCACCCACCCCAAGCAGAGCGATGGCTCACCGCTCCACAAGACCCACAAGGCGGGGACGGAACCACCAGCATAAAACGGCTCACTTGTGTGCTGATAACGCACACGCAGGGATATTTGCCAGGGCCACTAAGCGGGCAAAGGGCAATTCTGAGAGCAAGAGAATCAGGAAGTGAAGCTGAGCATTTCTGTCCTGAGGGATCTGCTGCACCTCATGGCCCTCAGCCCACACACACCAAAGAAAAATGCCATCGGATAACCAGCGGTTGGTCTTCCCTACGAAAAACATCCATCCACTTAATGGCCGTGGAAAGTCAAGTTCTTGCCAGACTGGTCAGTGACCCCCAAATGGTGATCCAAGGTCATCCCCAGCCTTGCCTGGGTTCAAGGTTGGGGAGGCTCCCTCCTCTCCTGTCCCGCACCTGCTGACGCCCACCCATCTTCCCAGGCTGCTAGGCTAGGTGTTCCCGCCACCTAATCCACAGGTGCTCCTTTGAGGGGGCTCGTAGTATTCGCCTCTCGGGATCTACTCCAGAATCCCCGACCTGCTTTGTGAGGCTGCTGTATTGACTTCTAATATCATTACTTATGTTTCTGGGTGCGTTCTCTAAAACTGCTCTCCTTGTGGTGGTGATTCACAGACTTGTCTGCCTGGTGGAACCCCCCAAGGAGGAAACCGCCATGTCTGTGTCCCCCACCTGGAGACCCTGATGGTCCGGAGTGTGGCCTAGGCTTTGGAATTTTTCAGAGATTCTCCCTCATGATTCTAAGCTGCCGACACGTTTAGAAAACACTGCCCTGTAGAACCCTCTCATATCTGCAGGGGACCTAACACAATCTAGGCACACGAGTGCTAGATAAATGTTTACTGAATGAATTACCATCTGGCCCTGGTCCGAATCATACAAAACTTCTAATTATAAACATAGGGGCCTTCGAAGGTCTCCCCCTGTCTCCAACTTATCACCCTCCTACCCTGAGCACCTTCGTCCAGGAGCACTGAGGTTGTAAAACAAAGAATCTTGCCCACCACCCAGCTCAACAAGATCATGTCATCAGCCACAGCAGCCGCTGACCCACCGCGCGCCCTGAAAGGAATTCAGGGCAAAGGACGGGAGGACGCGCTCTGTGCTTTGGGAAAACAGGCGCAACAGGCCCTTAGATAGATACACATTTCAGGAAAAATTAGGTATCAATTCCAAGGAAATCTTTTTATGAACCCAGATTCTTGCATCTTCCCATACTTAGGAAAGCACTAAATTCATCAACTGAGATATCTCTTCCTTGTGACTGGTTATACTGTATGCTGACCGCACGAGCCCCTTAGCCGAGACCGTATACGTATGGACCTCCCTCGCTACGTCTTCAGAGCTGTCTCTCAGAGGGTCTCCGAGAGGCTGTCTCCTGGCTCTGGTCCTCAGTAAGACCCTGAATAAAACTCAACTCCCGGCTCTTACATTCTGTGCTTTTCTTTTAGTCGACAAGGCCTTAAAAGAAGAGTGGCCTAAACTCATGGCTCTTGTATACTTTAGCTCGGATGTCCTCACTCAGTCAATAAACTTTTACTGGGGGCCCACTCTGGCTCAGACAGGATACAGACCCTGGTCCACCGTCCTCCCCAGGCCTCCCGTCTTCGGGGGACGTTGTAAGTGTCCCTGTGAGTCCTGCAGCAGCTCTGCAATCCTGCAGGCAGAAAGCTGAGCTGGAGCCTTCACAGGAGATGCTGGCGAGTGCTCACCTTAGCCTACGAACACCACGATTTAGTTGTGTGTAGAAATGAACAGTCTCTGACATTGTTAAGAAAATCTAAAGGGAAAAAAAAACAGCCGTGCTTAATCACATCACAGCCCATCAGAGAACAATCCTCACTGGCTGCAGAGGGACCCGAGCCTGGCTCCTTGAGACCTTGTCCCATAAACCCCGAGGGATGGGGGGGACCCTCAGGGCTGTCAGGGCAGTGGCCTCGGAGGGGCCCCCCGGCCCCATTTCCTTCCCCGGTGACCGAGATGTTCCCAAGCTGGTATCAACACTGCTCAGTGTAAAAACAATTAGAGGAACTTGTTGCTTTTATTTCCCCCTTGAGGACACAGCCCAGGCTTCTAGGTTCTGTGTAACTCCCTGAGCCTAATGCTATGCCATGAACATACGGGTGTTAAATATTTACTGAATGAATAAAGGAGGAAATTCAGATTCCAATTCTTGATGGCAACGTTGGGAAACAAAGAAAGTCCTCTTAAATTCAAATATCAAAAATATGCTTTCCCACCTAGTAACTATTTTTTGATGGTGCTGGTACTAATATTCAGGACCAGAGTTTCTGAATCTGTTAGGAAACTCTATGATATCGTCCTCTTATGAATCTCTAAAAATTGTCACATTGACTACAACTGTCTTCCTCTAATTCATCCGAGGCAGTCTGGGGCAAAATATAACATTATGTCTGGATTCATTAACGAAAACTATCAGATGAAACAGATTCTCTCGTGCAGCATCCGACACCCCTGTGTAAAGGGTGGTTTATAGAAACAACACGCTGGACTATAAACAGACTTCCTTTCTCTTAACCACAAAATCACAGGACGGAAAATACAAAGCTTCTTGTTAGGGAAACAAGAGGTGTACCGGGCATTTAGAGCAGCTGAGTGCCAGGCACACGTGAGGCTCTGTAAAGGGAACAGGTCACAACCCACAATCCCACACGTTCAAAACCAGACAATGACAGGCGTCCCATCCACACCTCGCTGCCCTCGTTCACCACTGCACACCCCGAACTCAGACGTGGCGAACACCCACCCCAGCCACCGGGCACCTGCTCACCTGAGGGTCGAGGGGAGGAACCCCCGGCCCGCGAAGCCCCTGACACTCAGCCGGGCCCCTCCCACCTCGTGCCCCCCTGCGCTGTGGGTCCAGATCCTCAAGTCTGAAAGGCTGCGCATTTCTGGCCTGTGGCCTCTTGGCACCACGGCCTCCAGTCTCTGCGGCCCTGACCCTCCAGGATCGCCCTGTGTTTCTCTCTGGGGCTGATCCGCCCAGGCAGCACCAGGCAGACAGGCCTCGGGCCCCAGACTGTCCTCTGGGCAGACCAACGTGACTGATGACTGTCCATTCGTCTTGTTTAACGTGGGCCAGTCAGGGCGGAGGCTGGGGATTCATTCACCTGGCCTGGCATCTCCACTGGTCACTTAACAGGTAACCGCCTGGAGGAGGCCACTCCAGGCCCAAGGAGTACCCAGCAGCAGGGTCTGCCTGCGACGGGCTTGCTCCGGGGCCCTGGCTGGCCTGACCGCAAGGCCGAGCGTCCTTCCCTGTCTTCGCGTCCTCTCAGGCAAGTCTGGAAAAACAGCTTTGCGACAAGCGTCAGCCCCGGGTTCAAGGCCCGGTCTTGCCACTTAAAGCTGTGCTCTTTGGTTTGCAGGAGTTAACAGTGGCTCCAACTAACTAAATAAAAGCAGTTTTTACAATCCCAAGGGAATCCGGTTTTTAGCTTTTCCCCATGTGTCCAGTTTCCTTCCCTCAACCTCTAGAACAGCTGACCCTTCTCCAAGACAGGCTGTCGCAACAAAACAGAGGCTTCTCTTCTCTTGTGGCCCAGGACCGGGCCCCACTCTCGGCAGCCCCTCACCAGGCATCTCCTATGATGCAGACTCCCGCTGCCCCAGTTTTCTTCTTTACACATGTGCACTGAGCCCCCACTGCTGAAGACGATGCCTTTTCAGCACTTTGCGTCTCTTTTCTTCTTCGAGGTGAAACTGTCTTATCTACAACGGCTATTCTAGTTTTAAAGTAACCACCTCTTGGCCTTATGATGCACATAGAACCTCTAGTCTTCCGTAAATCAAGGCTTTCTCAGCTGTAGGTCGTGCGATCAGTTTAGTGAGTTATAAACAGCATTTTTTCCTCCTTTTTAAGGAAACAGGTGGAAAGAGGAGGGAGATCAGAATGCATCCCACGCGGCAAGGTTAAGGAGGTTCCTGAACACTGTTTCGGGTGTAAACTATGTTTGCTGCGTCGCCATGTAAAAAGCTTAAGAAATACCAGTCTGTGGAAACCTGTTGGCCTCTGTAACGTGCTACTACACGCATACAACCAACTACTATAAAAACACAAACAAAAAACTAGCCCTAATTTATAGCCTCTGCCGATCTCTGCGGTGGAAATACTCCTGCACGGCTAATTCCAAGCCCCCAACGTGTGGTGCGTAGCTGGGGGGAGACGTGATGTGTCAGATCTGCTCCATGAGCCGACAGGAGGCCGTCCCCACACCCTGCCGGGCGGCCTCGTAGTTACCTAAACGCAGTCCTTTTCTGGCTGCCATCTCTGGGCTCCCTGCTCTGCTGGCCCTTGATGCGTGACCACCCCACACCCCCGCTCTAACCCGCTCAGCATCATCAAACCACCTCTCTGTGGGTCCCTGTGCTGCTCTCACATTTCTGGGCGTTTCCCAAGGCTCAACCCTGCTCTTTCGTTTTCCTCCCGTAGTCCTGGACTTTAAGGATTCATCCGGATTCATCCATCCATAGATTCTCAGAGAACAGATCTACTTGTAAAACCCTGAAATCTACATTTCTAACCCCAAGTTTCCCACCTTCTCTGCAGGGGCCTCTTCTCTGGGTGGGCTGAGTCTTCTCTGGAACTTTTCTCACTATGATAGAAACACTCCGTAGATATCTGATGGCACTAAATTAAAGAATACATTTATCTTTTTTGAGCGCTAGCGTTTTTATGACGTGGCTTCGGAAGA